TGACCTCAGGTGATCCGCCTCCCAAAGTGCTGGGATTACAGATGTAAGCCACCCTGCCTGGCCATATTACACATTTTGTATAAGAGACTTGAGCAGCTGCGGATTTTGGTCAGTGGGGGTTCTAAAACCAGTCCCCCACAGATACCCAAGGATGACTGTACTTTATGATTAACTTACAAATAACTGTATGAGGCAGATATTTAATGTATGATAAAATAATGGAGTATTTCTTAAATCTTAACTGATTTCTTTAAAGCTTCTCAAAGGAAGAAGTCTTATAAATTCAGTATGTACCATGTCATTGCTGTTTGATCATCTTTTCTATCCTTTTTTTAGCCAAATTTCACTTGCTTATATGCAAAAAGCTTCTTTTCTGTGGCATTCAATTGTTCTACTTTCTTAACCAATACTTCTGAGAACAGATTTTCAAATGTGTTCATAATCAGTTCAAGGAAATATGTTTGATAACTTAAGATTTTAGTTTGATAACTAAAATATGTTTGATAGTTTAACTATGTTTAAACTAAGATTTAAAAAAATAAATTTTAAATCTGAGAACAATAAATCTCTGTAAATTCCCATTTGAGGATGAAAGTTTCTGTTTTTCCTCTTATTTTGACTGAAGAGATTTGGAGAGTTTGCGATATTTACTTCCCTTCAAATAAGAAATGAAAGACTATTATTAAAATAATAATTTTAAATTCAAAGTTCAGCTGCCTATTCTTTTTTCATAAAATATTAAAGAGAAAAAGCCAAAAATGTTCTACGTACTCTTTGTCTTCTAGTTTGAAAAGAAACTGCTTTGTGTGGATTGACACCTCACATACTCTGAGTTTAAGAAGTTAGCAGTATCTGAGAAGGTACTATTTTTAGGTCCAGCTGTAATGTTTCTAACTTTGGTACGCAGAGTAGTGGGTGCTTCCTTTCCCAGAAGGCTCCATATTCTCAACATGTGCAGGTCAATTTGACATAAAGCTACCAACAGGGAGCAACAGGCCCATTGCAGGCTGTGTTTGTAACTTGGAAATTATGAACAGGTATTGGGAGCCACAGACTGTATTTGGGAACCAGCTGCATGTCAGGACAAGCATGGATTGTGGTCCCTGGAGGCTGGGAGAGCACAATGCTTGAATTTCATTTTCTTGGGAGATAAGAAGAAAAAAATACCTTCCTACCTAACAAGATTGACAGCTTGCTAAATCTGATTATCTTCAGAAGTGTGCTGGACAGTTACGAAGTAAACATTCACTTTTCAAAGATGATGATCAAGGAAACATCTCTACGAAGGGACCCGGATTTAAGGGGAGAGCTAGCTTTCCTGGCAAGGGGCTGTGATTTTGTTCTCCCTTCACGGTTTAAGAAGCGGCTGAAGTCATTTCAGCAGACACAGGTTTGATATTTGGGTGTTTTTGTTTCTGTTTTTTTTTTGAAAATATTTTTATTACTAATAAAACCATCCAGTGATCTAACTCACAAATAATTTTACAGCTCCCTTGTATCTTGATATTAGATCAAGGAATTAATGTGTGTCCTCTATTCAGCTATTTGCAGAAAGCTATTTGTAGAGGGATTCCAACAGGTTTAAAAATAGACCTTTTGGACCTGGAGTACAGTACTCACATTTTTCTCTTGTAGAGAGGGAATCTAGTTTTAGAGACAACAAATACAACTTAACAAACATCTTACAATTTAGCTAGAAAATTACTGGGATTTTTAATAGGAATATCCTTGAGAAACTAGAATTTCTGTGTTAAAAGCCTTGTGTGCACTTTGAATTTATGTTTTAGCATACATACACATCTCTAACAAATGTTTGTTTAAAATATGTTAATCCTAGAAATTGTTTTAAAAGCAAGATGTATTTGTTTATAAAGACAATTGTGTGTGTGTGTGCGTGTGTCATAACAAAGAATGGTATAGATAACAAAGAATGGTGGTTACTTCTAGATCGTGAAAAAGTGTCTTCTCTAAGCAAGCTGTGCAATCAAGTCCTTTCTGCCTATGAGGAATACTTTACAGAGTCTCTGCTTTCTTGCTTATAACCTATGGCAGTGTTTCACCAAACAAGTACCTAACATTGAGTACAGTATAAATCAAGGGCAATACAAATGCTGGCCATCCAAAATCTGGCAAGAAACCATAGTTTTTTGATTATTCTGACCCAGAGTAATCTCAAATTATTTGGGTAAATATGAAATTGCTTTTTTTGTAGGTCAAATATTGGAAATGCTACCGTGACATAGCATAAGGATACTGTTCTGAATGAATATCTAAATGATACTGTATTTATAGGGAAAGACTGAAATGGATAATTGAAATACTTTACTCAGCTATTTCTATTCTAATGCTGCTCCTAGACTGGACTGAAACCACTGTATCCAAAGTGAGCAGTTGCTAAACTTGCCAGTACATCTGGCAGAATTTATATTACTAGGTTTTCTTCCATAATGTTTGTAAAGTACCAGTTGTATTTAGCTACCTTAGGTTAAAATTACATATCTGCTGTAGAAGTTAATGGAAAGTAAATTGAATATCCAAAAGCTGAAAATAAATGCATTAGTGTTATTTTCCTTTTAAATATTAATATCAGTTTTATTATATATGGAATTGACCAATGGATTAATAAATAGTTGCCTATCAGTGAATTGCTCTGTGTTAAGTACACTAAGATAAGCAAAATATAATATTTTATAATCAGATATTCTCCCATTCAAATAAAATCTTTGGCAGCTAGTGTTCTAAATATCACTTATTTCTGTCAAAGCAAAAGTATAGAGTTAACATTGAAGACCTTGCTGTAAACCTTTCCCACTAGTGTGTATTCATGAGACTCTCAGGTTTCATCCCCACTTGCACCAGTGGTCTTAATTCTATGGGCATAACTGCTCCGGATGTCACATCACAGAAAACATTATGGGGAAACAAAGAATTTGGTGATTGTACACCTAAATCTCACAAATCTCTTTCAGCATAGAATAATGGAAAAGAAATGACACTAATATAAATGGCCTAGGTAAAGCCCCTGAAGAATTCTATGCCTTACTTTAGAATTTTAAGAACACTTTGAACAACAACAATAGTTATTGACTTATGGGACTATGTAATATTTACAGATTTGGCATTAAGGCAGAGACAAATGTTTACTTGAAATAGATTATCAATTTGTTAATTCAGAAATGGTTTGAAAATTTCTAATTGTTGTACAGATGTAAATGATGATTTTATTGATTATTGAATTTGAAGGATTATGCCAGATTACGCTTTATCTAATTTTTTGAGAACCCCATCCTTTGGCCTTATCATTCATTTTCTTAGGTGATAGCTAGATCTGTGCCCAGCACTGTTCTGAACCTTTTATCTATATTACATTTTATAATTTCCTTTAATCCTTATAACAACCTTCTAAGAAGTAGACGATGTAATTTCTGTTTTATTATTGAAATTCCAAAAGGTTAAGTAACCTTTTTGAGGTCACAGACTAGTAAACCATCAGTGTTTTAAGTTTTTCATGTTTCATTGGCATCTCTTCCCTTTGTTCTGTTTCTTCCTTGACTATTGCTGTATATGGGTGACGTAGCAAAGACATAGTGTGACCACCGGCCTTCATATCCCTAATAGTCTTAATATATGAGCATACTCCATTCTTTGTATTAGTGTCAGATATGAACACAGGGAAATTGGGCTATTACGACACAAATAGGAGATTTAACCATTTTCATCATATATTTATGTGACTAAATCTTATCTCTTTATAAAATTCAAATTTTTAAGGGTAGCTAAGATTTTTATTCTGAATTTTAAAATTATGTTATAAACCTATATGTTAAGAAGAAATATGATAGATCTACTTCTTATAGATACATCATTGTTCAAACTTTAGACATGGCATTTGGGTAATTTAAGGAAGAACATTTGAATAATACTTTGTGTTCATAATAACTATAAAATATATTTAACTAGTCCAATAGTTGTGTTAATCTCTCATACTTTATGTAGCATCTAATACAGTACCATTTGAAATTTGGCTGTTAATTAAGAATAGAAATTAGAACTATGAAAATCCTCATGGAATCTTTTTTGTTTTTTCTGCTAAGAATCTCAGAACTAAATTTAGTCTTTATTGGTAAGATCAATTTCTACCTGAATAATGGTGTATCTCCCCTCCCCTTTCCCTAAATTGTGGGCAATCTTAATTTCCTTATTGCTTTTTGCCACTCTTTACTGACCTTTCTAATGTCTCTTTATAGTATACCATATCAAATCTTTTTTTTAAAAGAAGAATATAAACTGTAAATGAGTTGTTAAACTGTAAAGGGAGTTTGGTTGTGATGAAATTAATGACCATGATTTTTGCCTGTTAGAGTATACCACAAATAAGATAAATGTGGATCTTGGAGAAAATAACATGGCCCTAGTGGCAAGTAAATCAGCCAGGTAGAGGACATTTCAGAACTAAAATACTTTAATTTTCTTAAGAAAAATTTTCTAAGCATCAGGGGCTGGCAGTGATTCTACCTCAGCAAAGTCAAACTAGAGAAGATAAAAGGAGCCTCTTCCCCAAATACTTTTTGAATCTATATATTTAAAAAGAACTTGTTTCTGCCTGTTGAAGGACAGGTAAAAGTCAAAGAAAGACCAAGAACTGTCTTCAAAAAGAATGTATTAATCCAGTTCCAGCAGAGTGAGAATACACCTTGAGATTCTTAATATATCAACTAACATTGTTCTTTGATTCTTTTGAAATGTCTGCCAAATGGTTGATGGGAAAATGTATGTATTTTTTAAACAGAAATCTATGTAAACTTGAGTACTGGCAGATAATAAATAAATTAATTAATTTAATGCAGATAAGCATTCCCTAGAAATATGCTCACCACTTTTTGGAGTACAGTGAGCCCTTAATCTCTCCTGACTGTGGTTTCTTATATTGCTGGTGAAGATTTTCAGTAAATGAATACTGTTTAAATTTTTTGTATCTCATAATCTTATTTTTCTTCTAGATTCAAAATAAACCAGAAAAGAAACCTGGAACACCACTTCCACCTCCAGCCACCTCTCCAAGTAGTCCCCGACCTCTCTCCCCCGTTCCCCATGTGAATAATGTTGTGAATGCACCATTGTCCATAAACATTCCACGGTTCTACTTTCCTGAAGGACTCCCAGACACCTGCAGTAACCATGAACAGACTCTAAGCAGAATTGAAACTGCTTTCATGGATATTGAAGATCAGAAAGCAGACATTTATGAAATGGGGAAAATTGCAAAGGTAATCTAACTACTAAATGATTTCTAATCTCCCATTCTCTAGAAACCCTGCTCTCCCTCTCTTCACTGCCTCTTTGCTCTGTTTTTAAGCATGCATGGAGTTGTCTTTTTCCATAGTGGTCTTCCATTTCAACCTCCCATTTAATATAAGAATCCCTTCCAAGACATCACCACTCATGAATTCATTCTCTGCTTAAACCCTTACAGAGACTAGAAGCTCTACCTTGCCAGGCAGCCTGGTCCATTGTTAAATAGGTCTCCCTTGTTTGTTAGAAATTTTTTTCCTTGTGCTGAATAGGAATCTGATGTTTAGTCTCAGCTAATCATTACTGCCCTAATACCAGACAAGGAAGCATTAGGCCATCTCAATACAGCCATTTTACCCAGATGTAAATGGATTTGACAGTAGGAAGCAAATCTTTGGAACTTTCAAATATATCCAACTGCTTCTGAGTTCAGATCTTATCCCCCTAATGTCAGGACTACTCTGACTTGGTTCTGTGCCTCCAGCCTCCTCCCAGAACAGTTAATACTTAGCATAACCATCAGATTATATTTGATTATGCTATTTCCCAGTTTAGCAATATTCAGGAATTCCCACCCTTTATAGCAGTGCTTTGTTTTGTTTGGGCTTTATTTTTATTATGCATGAATATTGAAGAGTCGGGTCACACTTCAGGCTTTAGCAGTAGTTTTAGGCTGTGCTTCAAGAGGCAGAGGGGTTTAGTAGGCTAAGGGCTGCATGGAGGCAAGTAGGAGACCAAGTAGGAATACCTAAGAGCCTCATGCACGTTTCCACTGGGAAGGAGTTCCCCTGCTTTCAGGAGTAATATTAAAAAGTTTGAAAACTACCATTCTTCAGGGTAAACCTCAGAATCTTCTTCTTGGTATTCCATGTTTTCCACAGCCTGTCCCCATCCAGACCTGCCTAAAACTTTCCTGTATGAGCATGACCCTCTTGCTTTCTCATAGGCACACCTCTGCATTTGGTCTCTCAGAGTTCTGCCTCCAAGGTGGGCTTCCACTCATGCACTCTGCTTCCACAGTGGAAGTGTGCATGGGCTCTTAGGTATTCCCACTTGGTCTCCTACTTGCCTCCATTGCAGTCCTTAGCCTGCTAAACCTCCTCAGCATCCACTTTGAAGACCTAGCTTCCATTGTGTATTATTGGTGAAGTCCTTGAACTCTCACTTTGTCATGTCCTGCCCTACCTCTGACATCACAGAGCATTTGTCATTACCTGAGGCAATCCATGAAACCTGTCTCTTTCATGAGCATTTGTCATTGCTGTTAAATGTTATGTAACTAGACTGATTTTAAAGGAAATGAAAAGGAATTCTTTTCTTCATTCTGCCTTCTTAAAAATTGCTTGTGGATCTCCTAGATGCTTCTAATGAAAAAGAAACTCATTCCAGAAATAAGAGCTTATCTGTTTCCATTCTGTTTTACTTATGCAGGAACTGCAGTTCTGTAAGTACTTAACCTGAAGTCATGGAGCTAGTTCATGTTGGGAGGGAAGTCATCTAACTTCTAGCATGGTGCTGTTTCTACATATGTCGTCTCCCTGAATATGTAGTAAAAGTAACTAACTTCCAGTCAATAGCCACCCAAATGTATTACAAGTTCTTTAAGGGCATTCAGGATTTTCTTACCCGGTTCTTTTAGAGATGGCTGTTGCATTAGATGACAGAACCCTGATGATAAAATTTCCGAAGGGGCTGGAACTATGGCTCTAAATCCAAAAGATAAAATTTAGCAAAGGTGAATGAAATCTGCATTTGGAGGTAATATGGTAACTACATAAATGCCAACAGAGTATTTCTAACGTGAGAGCAATGTGCGTGAAAGAGACAGAAGGTTTCATGGATTGCCTCAGGTAAGCAGACAGAGAAACTCTTCACATTAAGGCATAGTAGTTCCCTGGTACAGTACTGAGGTCACCATGTCTGGAGAGCCCCTCTTCCTCTGAATATTCCCAACTGTTGACTGAGGAGCCCATTCTCCTGCGTCTTCCTACTGCTCTGCCTCCACATCATTTACGGTCTGGCCTCCCATTCCTGTGCTGTGGTCGCCCTGCCTTGCTTCGTGGCTCAGGGCTTCGCTAGCACCCCACAGATTCAGAGACAGGAGGGCAGAAAGCCTAAAGACTCCACAGTAGTCAAGGGAGGTGTCAAAAAGAGTATAGTCAAGGCAGGGTAGAGGTCTCTGGATGGTGGGTAGCCAGAGGAACAAATTTGCCATTTATGTGCAGTGAGGATCAGTCTGTATGTGGCATCAGAAAAAGACAGCGGTGTTGAAACTGACAGATAACGTGGAGAAGTTTAAAAAGATAGAAAACTAATTTGTTTAGCCCTAATAGTCATTTACATAACAATTTGCTACTTATACATAATAATCATGTGGTGCAATAGCCATTATACATATATATATGTCTCATTAACTTGTCTGAATTATACTTAATTATAGCCCTAAATTCCATTCATGGGCACCAAGCCTTTGTGTTCATTGCTGTTAGATCTTAATTGTCAGCTCAGGTAACAAAGTAAACTGCATGTGTCTTTAAAAAGTTAAAACCAACATTGCATATAAAAATGAGGAGAGGATGTGTGACTGGGCACAGTGGCTCATGCCTATAATCTCAGGACTGTGGGAAGGTTGAAGCGGGAGGGTCACTTGAGCCTGGAAGTTCAAGACCAGCATGGGCAACATAGACTCCATCTCCACAGATGATGATTTTTTTTTTTTTTTGAGACGGAGTCTCACTCTTGTTGCCCAGGCTGGAGTGCAATGGCACAATCTTAGCTCACTGCAACCTCTGCCTCCTGGGTTCAAGTAATTCTCCTGTCTTAGCCCGAGTAACTGGGATTACAGGCACATGCCACCACGCCCGGCTAATTTTTGTATTTTTAGTAGAGACGAGGTTTCACCATGTTGGCCAGGGTGATCTCCGATCTCCTGACCTCATGATCCACCCACCTTGGCCTCCCAAAGTGCTGGGATTACAGGCGTGAGCCACCGCACCTGGCTCAGATATTTTTTTTAAATTAGCTGAGTGTGGTGACATGTGCCTGTGGTCCTAGCTACTCAAGGAGGCTGAGGCAGGAGGATCACTGAACCCAGGAGGTTGAGGGTGCAGTGAACCATGATCACGCCTCCATACTCCAGCTAGAGTGACAGAGTGAGACCCTGTCTTAATAAAAAGTTGGGGGAGATGTGTATATAATTACCTAAAAAGATAACATGAGTGTGTCAGTTTGTATTTTTTTTGCCTCTTTATTCTTAAAACTGTTTTTTTAAAAACTGATTTAATCATATCTTCCAGTTAACTAATTATCTCTTTTTTATTCAATTTTATTTCTAGTTGTTGGGAAACAGGTGATGGTTGGTTACATGAGTTAAGTTCTTTAGTGGTGATTTGTGAGAATTTGGTGTACCCATTACCCATCACCCAGGCAGTATACACTGTACCCTATTTGTAGTCTTTTATCCCTTACTCCCTTCCCATCCTTTCACTCTTAGTCCCCAAAGTTCATTGTGTCATTCTTATGCCTTTGCATCCTCATAGTTTAGCTCCCACTTATGAGTGAGAACATACAATGTTTGGTTTTTCATTCCTGATTTACTTCATGTAGAATAGTCTCCAATCTCATCCAAGTTGCTGCGAATTCCATTAATTCATTCCTTTTTATGGCCAAGTAGTATTTCCTTACACACACACACACACACACACACACACACGCCACAGTTTATCCATTAGTTGATTGATGGGCATTTAGGTTGGTTCCATGTGAATTGTGCTGCTATAAACATGCATGTACAAGTATCTTTTTTGTGTAATGACTTCTTTTCCTCTCAGTAGATACCCAGTAGTGGGATTGCTGGACCAAATGGTAGTTCTTTATTAGTTTTTAAAGGAATCTTCACACTGTTTTCCATAGTGGTTGTACTAGTTAACATTCCCACCAGCAGCGTAGAAGTGTTCCCTCTTCACCACAGCCATGCCAACATCTACTGTTTTCTATTTTTTGATTACGGCCATTCTTGCAGGGCTAAGGTGGTATTGCATTGTAGTTTTGATTTGCATTTCACTGATGTTGAGCATTTTTTATGTTTGTTGGCCATTTGTATATCTTCTTTTGAGAATTGTCTATTCGTGTCCTTAGCCCACTTTTTGATGGGATTGTTTTTTTCTTGTTGATTTGAGTTCATGGTAGATTCTGGATATTAGTCCTTTGTCAGATGTATAATTTATGAAGACTTTTTCCCACTCTGTGGGTTATCTGTTAACTCAGCTGACTGTTCCTTTCACCATGCAAAAGCTCTTTAATTAAGTCCTAGCAATTTATCTTTGTTTTTATTACATTTGCATTTGGGTCATGAAATCCCTGCCTAAGTCAATGTCTAGAAGGGTTTTTCCAATGTTATCTTCCAGAATTTTTATAGTTTCAGGTCTTAGATTTAAGTCCCTAATCCTTCTTGAGTTGATTTTTGTATAAGGTGACAGATGAGGATCCAGTTTCATTCTCCTACATGTGGCTAACCAATTATCCGAGCATCGTTTGTTGAAAAGGGTATGATTTCCCTACTTTATGTTTTTGTTTACTTTGTCAAATGTCAGTTGGCTGTAAGTACTTGGCTTTATCTCTGGGTTCTCTATTCTGTTCCATTGGTATATGTGCCTATTTTTATAACAGTACCATGCTGTTTTGGTGACTGTGGCCTTATAGTGTAGTTTGGAATCAGGTAATGTGATGCCTCCAGATTTGTTCTTTTTGCTTAGTCTTGCTTTGGCTTTGCAGGCTCTTTTTTGGTTCCATATGAATTTTAGAATTGCTTTTTCTAATTCTGTGAAGAATGATGGTGGTATTTTGATGGGAATTGCATTGAATTTGTAGATTGCTTTTGGCAGAATGGTAGTTTTCACAATATTGATTCTAGCCATCTACGAACATGGGATGTGTTTCCATTCTTGTGGTCTGTGATTTCTTTGAGCAGTGTTTT